TATATAAATAAGATGAAACGAAACAAAAGAAACTGTGTTGAATCATATAAATTATCTTCAATAGAGTTTTTTAGTTTTTTAAAATAATTTTATAGATCCTTTTAATATTAAGAATTCTTGGAAAAATTATAAATTACTTAGTAAGTTAAAATATATTATATTAATTATTTGTTTAGTGAAATCTTAGTTTGTAGAAGAAATTAATTGATTTATTATCTTAAAATGCATTTTTGAAGTTAGAAACAAAATTCGAAAAATCAACTCAAATATCTGGTGGACTATTCTCCTTAGCTCGTTTAATTTCATCAAATTTTATCTTGCATTTAATGACTTCACTCAATCTCTATTAATAAGGGGTTGTAACTAGATTGATTGAAATATATTGGAGTTCTATTGATAAGAAATAAAGTAGATATCACTCATTATTTGTTTTCATTAATAAGGAATTATTATGCTCAAATATTGCTATTTAAATTTTATTTTTTATGAAGATTTTCTCCTTCTGATCTAGTTTAAAAAAGAGTTTTTTCTGATGATGTCCTTATTCCCAAGGTAGTCTTACCAGTCATAAGAATATTTAGACAATGCCCAAGTGAATACATATAGGTAAATATGAGACTATTTTTAAAAAGAATTATTCTAAATGAATTGTTATGAAGATAATTGAATGAATTCTTATACATCATATTCAAACTAATTAATAGTATTTTATAGTGAATTATCAATATCAAAAGATTTGCAATTAATTAAAAAAGTAAAAATCATTAATTGTTGGTTAAAATAAATCTTAACATACATCTTCAATCTTGCTAACAAAGATTAATGATTAACTTCCTTTCAAAATATAAAGATAGTACACTCAATCTAATTGAATGTTTATCTATTAAACATCAAATAACTCCTTTGAAATATTTACAATATCATTTTATCCTCTATTAATCATCCCAATCTATCTGATTAGACTACTTATTTTAATTAAGTTATTAAGAAACAACAAATCTTCCTTTAGATGATAAAAAATAGAATTTAGAATTAAATTAATATTTCTCACATTTAGTGTCAATGAAATGAAGAAAAAAAATAATCTTAAATTATCTTATAAGATTTGAGATTTTTATCTATAATTTATTCTACCTTTTAGTTAAAAAATTTACTTACAACAATAATTTGAATTCACAGAAAAGTAATAAAAATTTAATATCTAAATACTAAATATGCAAATATTTTTTCTTTTTGTTATACTCTCTAAATAGAGCATTGTTATTTTTATTCATTTAATATTACTTTTATGATCTTCTTCTTAATTTAATTATATTAAAATACAAAATTTTATATTTATATTTATTATTAATGTAAATACTCTTCGTTTTAGTCTATTTAATCATCAAACTCTGATTTATTTGTGATTTAAAATAGTAAATATATGGTTTTAACAAAAATAAGACTTTTAAGTCAAATGGGCTTTGAGTATAAGAGATAGTTAATTAGTGTTTTTAGCTTTCGAGCAATTTAAACGAGAATGAAAATAGAATTAATTTATTAACTTAATTAACCTGATGCAAAATAAAACTGAAAGCAAAGCTTCATTTTTTCTTTACCATACTCCAGTCGAGAATGATTGGGTTTGATAATCTTGTTAGATAATGATAAAATACTGATCTAAAATCATAGCTTAATTATAAGTAAGATAACTTATGTATAAATTAAAAATATATTATATTTTAAATTATATATAACAAATCAATTGTATTTATAAAGAATTAATATTAATTTTGATTAGATGAATGCAAGATTAATGAAAACATCCCTGTTTAGATTTATGTTAAATTGAAGGAATGTTTAAAATAATTGTCTTATATTTTATTATTTGCAATATTTAACTATTTTTAGATTTGGGATATCGTAATGATTTTTTTATATTTATTTGTTAAAGAATTCACTGATGTAGTAAAAAGAAAGTTTAGTTTTGTTGCATATATGAAGTTCAAGAGTTATGCTTCAAAATTTTAAGGTATAAGTATTTAAATATGAAACTGTTACTATTGATCCCAAGGCAATTTCTTAAATTAAGAATTAGCCATTCTATGAGGCTGTGATATGGAGAACTAATGTTGAAGAAGTTTTAAATAAAATTCCTTAGTTCTTTGTATATATATCACTATTTAATAATGAATTTGATATGATATGGTTTATGTCTTTTATTTAATAGCTAAAAGAAAGTGTATCGGCAATAATAAATATACTCGAAGTTGTTATTAAAGATTATTTTATTCCAGATTTAATTTTAGGATCAGTTTCAATTGATTAATTCTTTTAATCAATGTTGTATTTGAACTCAATATCTAATTAAATATTATTGAAATATCCTAAATCTTTCTAGATTATCTCAAAAGTATAAGAATAATATTTAAGAGAAAAATAAACTTTTAAAATTAATTTGAAAACCTTAAATTTTTCTAATTATAAAGATTTAAAGATGTTAGCTTAATTTAGATATGTGCTTACTACAATAAAAAATATTTAAAAATTGATTAAGCATAAACCCTTTTTTCTATGAGATCTGAATTAAACGATCTTATTAGATGTTTAAAATTCAGTTCAATATTTTAATTAAAATTGAATTTCTATTTTGACGAATTAGTTCCTACCATAATTCCATATATTAACACAGTTATTAGAAATTGCCCAAAATAATTACAATTCTTATAAATCTAAGTAGAAGCTAATAGTGTAGAATAAATGAAAATTGTTGTTGAAAGAAAGGATGTTCTAACAGCCTTTTCTAATTCATTTTTATAAATTATACAATAATACAAAGATAGATCTTTAGTTATTCAAAATCAAATTTGAATATAGATAAGAATTTTTTTAATTTAGATCGCTACGATTTTGATTAATTATATTTTGAAGTTTCTGGTAATCTTAATTTAAATAATTGCCATTAATTATTTGAATAATTCACTTAGTTCAAAGTTTTCAAGGCATCTATTCTAAATAATACAGCCATATAGACTTTTTAATTTTCAAGCAATTTAAAAAGTTAACAATTAGAAATTCTGGATATTACTTTTGAAAATATTTAATTAGATTTTTAATAATTCCCTTTTAATTAACTCAATACATGGTTTTGATATGGTGTGATTTAACTGCCAGAAACTTAAGGAAATTTTAACTAATCTAAATAACAATACAAAGGTAGTTTATATATATATTTCAAAATGTTTGAAACGATTTACAAAAAATGAATAGAGAGATTTAGTAAGAAATTTAGAAAGACAATATAGATAATATTCAAATTTACAAGTATTCTGATTGATTAATTGTATATTTTCTGCTAAACTATATATTAAGAATTCAATAAATTTATTCAATAATTTATAAAATTATTTAAAATAAGTATTATATTTGTAAATCCACTGAAATAAACCATTAATATTCTGTTTCTGAATTTCATTTAATATTAATTAATACTTCAGTTATATTCTTAATTTTACTACTATAATAAAATAAGGAATGAAATCAACGAATAATTGAAGATTGTGAATTTTCCTTTTTAGATTGATAAAAAAAATGGCCTCATTTGAATAATTCATTCCTGCAGGGGTAGATTTGATTAATTTAATTATTATTATTATAGAATAAGTAGACAATAAATAAATGATTCCTCTTAAAATTAAATAGATTAACATTTTGAGTTTAATAATTAAGATTCAGAAATTAAAAAAAGTAATCTTTGTCATTTATCTTATAATACAATGGATAAAGCTATGAATATCCAAAAAAGGTAAAAAATATGAACATATTTTGGAATAAATGTGATTTATAATTGATTATAATATGGTAATATTTAAGATCTTAATTAATAATAATAAATTATATCAATATCATCTGATTTAGATACGAAATTGTGTTGAAAACATAAATTAAAATTATTAACAATAGATTTAAAGTAATCAACTGCTGATGAAGATAAATACCTTTTTATCAATTGAGAAATTTATAGAAGAGAATAAAATAATGACTAAGTAAATGAAAAATAAATCATTGAAATTCTTTATGAAATCAATTAAATATTATTCAATTATAATAATTAGGTTGTAAGCAAAATATTATCCAGACCGACAAATTGAAAAAATTTAAAAAATAAATTGATTTATATAAAATAGAGTTTTTAATAATACATCGATTGAGTCTAAATAAAATAAAACTCAAAATTTGAAAAATATTTCTCATATAGAAGTTATTCAAAATACAACTAATCCCTCTCTAAATATATTTTTTTAATACAATTATTATCAGTTGAGCATAATATTTCAAATAAAAATAAATCTATATTTTAGATTATTTGATAAGATATTTTAATAATCACAAGTTAATTTTTTGTAAAATCATACTATAAAAACGAGGAAACTATATAGCTTAGTCTTAATTGGTGTTGATTAAGTTAGCCAATTCCAAAATAACAATAAGAGGATCTACCACTCTCATTCTAACTAAAGGAGCAAAATATATTAATAAATACCTA